TTTGTTTCTGGCGCAGTACATATTACTTACCCCGATCATCGGATTCAGGCTAACCTACACACTATGTATGCACATTCTCCACTCCCTGGGAAGCATTCCAGCCAGTCGCCATTTTACAAGCGTTACTTGATCATCCAACCACATTAACTTTCGCATCCTACCGGGTACCCATTTAACACACGGGTGGAGAGTGGCAGATGTAGATTAACGTCTTGCCAAAGGACGTTAGTGCCATGTCGGGGATGGAACCACGACCTTCGAATTTTAAGTCAAGTGCTTAAACCACTCGAATATGACACTTCTAAGACAATAATACCTTTGTTGTCTTTATTGAATGTTGTATTGTAATGAGGTTTATGCCACACATTAAAATATTACATCGATAATGAGGTTATGTAAAGTAAGCACAAATTTGTTAATAAAGATTATGATGTACAAATTATATTTAATCTCCATAATAATAGCCAATTCGTACAATCCCTATATTCTTCCTTGCTTTTGCCGGTTGTTGCGTTACAACACACTTGTAGCACATAGAACAAAAGTCCCTGGAAAATCAGTCTCTAGCCCACACAATTCTTAACACTACTAATTCTGTTTTCATTCTGGAAGAGAGACTAACTAGATCAGACTGACCTGGTCAGTCTTCTAGGCCTTTTTGGTCAGGAATGAATTTATACAAACCTAAGAGTGAGCTTTATGCCTCTAAACTGTAGGTCACTTTGCTATAATTATGCACAGACAGAAGTGAGTGTAGGAAATTTCCTGGTGAAGGACATAGCTATTGACCAATATAGATGGTCAAACCATGGTCAAACTCAAGCACACGAAAATTATCACCGTCATCCATATGGACATTAGCCCCGAGGATAAGAATTTTACTTTTCGAGTTGTTTGCCACCTTCTTAACGTCAGCCAACCACCCCCTCCCGCCCCCGCCCAGTATACCATATTTTAACAACATCACACTGTAAACACATTTTAAACAACAACCAGGCACCCCCTGGAAAACAAAACAACAACGGCATCAGCAGAGTCTTAAAACCATAATAGCCTATACCATCAACACAGAGAAATCGAGGTATACAATGAGAAATATGAACATTCTTAATAGCGTTGGTTGGTGATTTCATTGACAAAGCTGTAATCTCACAGGAACTAATTAACATCAATGGTGACAATAACAAGATCTCGAGAGAAAACAGCATCAATAAGGAAAAATGTAGAATGTGTGACATGGATTAAAGAAAAAAAAGAACATCGTTATCACCAAGGATAAACACAGCTTCCATTCCCTATAACTAAATCGTTATGTCATTGCAGGTCCCGATGTGAAGAAAATTGCGATGATTATCATTAAAACATATCAAAGTCATTAAAAATGCACCTAAAGAGCAAGTGGGTGAATATGCGTACACAAATGTCTGCCAAGATGGAGCATGGGTCTAGCTGGTTGTAACCATGGCAACTATCCATAGAACAAAAAATGAACTGATTAATACAAAATATATAGCTATAGATAGGGGAGGAAGTTGACCTCGGTATACAAACAGGGAGATTGAGAGGAAAAATAGATGGGACTCCCCAAAGACACACTCTGAAGCCTTCGTTGGTTCACTAGCGACCATCCATCATCCATATCTCAGCCAGTAATTAGGTTCCTTGCTTCTGGAGAAAACAATCGACATTGAAAATGCGTGACCGTAAACAGAATTCACAAGTAAATGCAAAATCACCGATTAAAGATAACGGAGGATCAAGGTACCTGGTAAATTGACTTTAAAAAATCTTAGGGTTGTCATGACAACGGAAAGGGGCTGGACCGGGACTGCATCGCTAAAGTTTGAAGTATTGAATGAAAATGGGAATTCGACATTGAGGAAACCGTGAGGCACTTGCGTTAGCATTTATAGAAAGCTGTGATGGTATGGATCAGGAAGTGATGAGCTTATAATATTCATAACATGAAAACTAAACCATTTGAGCACGAAAATATTGGTCAGTGATCTGATCAAACTCTGCTTACATTATTACGTCATTACTATTAATTTATGATCATATACGTGACTGCATTTAAGCTTTGAGAAATAAAATGAAGATTTCATAGTCGGTCGATATTGGAGATTTTCTAAATCACTTAAGTGCTGATTAAGTACAGAAGAGGAAAAATCAGTAAACATAAAGATAGGAGCTGCGCTACCAATGGAAAGCGACCCACATGATCCATCAAGATATTACTCTTTTCCTTTTCTTTTCCTTCTTCTTCCCAACGCACTCTTCATCTGTAGCTTTCTCTTTCTTTGGCTATTCCAAAGTTCTTGTCATTCTCTTATACCTCAGTCACACCAACGAGCCAGCCAACAGACCGATCACAATGATCTTTAGAAATCTAGCCATCTGATTAGTCGAAATTGGAGTCCTGATTTTAGCCATGCCCACCTACAGGTCAATAGTCTTTTAAAAGATGCCCGCATGTCCTCTTACCGGTCAATAGTCTTTTAAAAGATGCCCTCTATATGGTGAGATCCCCATTGGTTTACGTGTAAACAGTTTATTTGTGCGAGCGCGGGGTGATACCAGGATGTAACGTCCCCTTGAGCCTATAAAAACAACTTTCCCTCTCATAGCAGTCATTATATCTAGACAATAACATTACCACCCAATGGCCAAAAGTCGTTGGGTTTGGAGTCGGTCGTTAGTCGGTTTGACTGAGGTATAAAGCCTTGTCCAGATATGAAGCGGTAAACCGCGACGGATTTTTATGACGACGTTAAGTGTAATGCGCTTAACACTTTTGTATCTTATAACACAAAGCTATATAAGTGAATACGCGTAGGATCATTGTTGCGCGCAGTAGCAAATCATCGACACGGTTAAAAACGCTGGCGTTTTTTTTTTCATTGCGTCGGTTTACCCCGTCATATCTGGTATCTAATATCTCTTTTTGCCGCCTTTCATTTGTTTCCCGTCGTTGATAACTTTGCGTGCACCTTCAGCCTTCAGGTCATGAGTTGGAAACAAAAAATCAGCTGTAGCACAAAACCCATTTTGCTATCCCCCTTCATTTTCCCCCAAAATACGACTTCGACCTAAATGATAAATGCCAACATAAATTATGTGTCGGCTTTGTTTTATAAATTCGAGGAAAACGAGGACAAGATGAGGCGGGATGAAAGAGAGATGTAAGCAAATACCAAACGGAACACGGGGGTGTAAGAGTGCTTGCAATTTTCCAAAGCTATGGGCGACATATGACCTATATCTCTACAATAAATCTCAGAGTAACCCATGACATTTTCTCCTTCGTATTGTGCCTCAATTCCCATCATAATTTATGCCATAATTCTTTATCTACCCCAAGGGCCATTCTTGAACAGAAATGACGGTAAAATGTAAGGGAGAAAAGGAACGTTTTACGCAAAACTCTGTGTGTGGAACAAAAATAAGAAAACAAAAGAAAAAAAGTAAGGTGAAGATATAGGGATGAAGATACAGGAGTAATAACACTACGAGAGATTGAGAGAAAGAGAGAGAATCGAGGGTGGAGGAGAAAGAGAAACAGAGGGAGAGAAACTTGTGAGCGTGTGTATGTGTGTGTGTGTGTGTGTGAGAGAGAGAGGGGGGGCAGACAGAGAAAGGAAAGAGAGGGAGAGACAGTGTGCGTGTGTGCGTGTGTGTGCATGATAAATAAGACGGGGCCTCTGTGTTCGTGTGTGTTTGTGTGTGCGTAGGAGATTGTGATAAAACAATAGTAATGGAAAGAGAGAGGGAGGTGCACAGACTGGGAGGGGGAGGTGGAGAAAGAGAGGAAAAAAGAGAGAGAGAGAGAGAGAGAGAGAGACGGAGAGAGGTGGTAGGGGTAAAGGGTGGAGCCTATGGACTCGAGATGAATCTTGCGTCTGGGAAAACCTAAACAGTGCAGATGTGAATAACGAATGAATAGCAACGCAGAGGAGAGAATGATGATTAATATAGAGGGAAGGAGAAGAAGGGAGACGAATGATGAAGCACGTTGAGCCGTTCCTAACGCCATGGTGACTTGAGGCGACATGAAATCTTAATGTGATATAAACCCAATTTTCGAGAGTGAAATTGGTGTCGGGCCTCGCGGGGATGATGAGAACAGGTTGAGCGCTCTCTTTATGTACACTGTGAAGATATAAAACTCGAGAGCCGCTCACTCCGAGCTCTCCGATGCGACACAATAATAAACCCTTCTAAAGGAGGTGCAAAACGGGTAAGCTAAAGAGCTCCCCCTTACAAACAGAAAGTCGAAATGAATTACCATAAAATAATTTTACTACAGGCATACTGCTGGCATTATATCTCTTTATAGTAAACATCAATAATCGAAACACGATAATTGTCCAGAAAGACTTAACGATACATTAGGAGAGGACCAAAACCAATATTCAACGAATCTCTTTCTTTTGCTGATTATCTAAACCACATGTAAAATACGGACTGCATATCTTCAACAACATTGCCTTAGACATTGCCTTGAGTAATACAATTTTTTTTATTTCTGTACACACAAACACGCACACAAAAACTCTCTTAAAACCTATGTGAGAATGAAAAAAGACCTGAACATTACAACAGCGCTTTGGAGCAAATGAAAAGTGTTACAATGCAGCTACCAAGATGAGACATGTTAAATTAAATGAAGGGGAAATATGATAGAAATGGCAAACATTATTAGCAAGCATATGGTGATGTTATGATCAGGGAGATGAGTTTTATTCATCAATTTGAGAAGAACAAAATCTAATACATGTTTTTGTTTTTTTTCATTAATTTTGTAACAGCTTTGAGAAATACTAATACTTTTAGATCATTAAGCTTTTACTGAACATCACGGGGAAATATTAACAATGATGGATATAATTGTATTTAATTGTATTTAACTGGAATGAATACAATTATTAAGCCTATTCAATATTTAGATTATCGCAAGCTTATTGAGATAAATTAAACTGACTTAATGAAAATAAACATACCTTTGAGTGGAGCAGCCAAAGCCGAAAGAGCGAACACAAAAATAAGCAAAAGAGCGAATATCCTTGTTTGTAAAGACTGCATATTGAAGACTGTTTTTGCGTTTAAGTTGAAAACGGTTGTAAAATGCTACTAAAAATAGACGAAGGGAACGTAGATCAAATTTACAATTTATAATCCTTCTTTTGCTTTCAGAAAAATAAAACTGTAGAAGGCACTAAACTATATCCAAACTGTTTCTCTATCGCCCGGAAGTATAAGCGATGTTTAGCACACTGTGTGACTGTATACGAACACGGAGAGTGGATGAATGCGGCGCCACGGATTGCATCTATTCATTTACCCATCTATTGCAGCATCCATGCCACCTGCAAGATGCGCATGCTCAAAGCATCATTGCCGTTTGATACGCTGCTCCTCCCCCATCACTATTCGGTCCCACACTATAGATAGGTACGGGAACAGGGACGGGGAGCAGCCGACGGAGAAACATAAAGCCTGTTTGGATGAATCGACGTTGCAATGCATGCACGTCAGCCCAATACACACACACGTCAGTGGCGGCATATAAGATTCTTTGCTTACGTCACACCGACACCAAACCGGAGAGAGGCGAGATGCGGCTGTAGGAGAAAAGCGGAAACGAGAAGGATGCGGAATTTATTTTTAGAAGCAATCCGATGAGAATTACACCATTATTTACCATTTCAACCGGTCCCATACCGGCCGTAATAATCCTTGGGTGATGTTTTTGAATGCTGAAAGTGGGGTAACTGCTATTCTGAGGATATATGAGGCGACAATCCATATACAGGCCAGAAGCTAGCCAGGCATTTTCTAAATAGATTACGTCGATTCATCATTAACATGATGAGATATACAAACTCGGACTATAAATAGAGCTAGCAGATACGAGAACAGGAATCCATTATTCATACTCCGAGGCTAGAATCGATTTAAATAGCCTAAAAATCTAATCTCGGATAAATTATCCAGATCACTGTAGCATAAGAAAATTACTCATTAACAATTTAAGACAATTTTACAGTCCCTGCCCAGGAAATCAAGAGTGCCGAATGTTTCTTTCTGCTCTGCCTTCAAGCTGTAAATAATGCAAGAAAATAATCTTTTTAAACACAAGAAGAACGGAGCTCCGAAAATAATTTCGTTATATAGAAAAAAAATATTTACAGACAACAAACACTTTATGCACAAGACATTGCTAACATCAATGTGAAATTATATTTTCAATACAATGATGCAAGATGTAAAATTTGGCCTTATGTAGTTAGAACTAGAAAGGAAAGTTCCGGCATGTTCTCATATCTCTTACAAAAAATGTGGTCACCAATATTGATTAATTTTATAGATTGTATATACATACTCAATAATAATCTTATTCATTCTCCAGTTCATTATTAGTACTTGTTGTACTTGCGCAGACCATAGTTATCTTTTCTTCTTTAATTTCTTGCAAAATATCACGGGAACAAGTAGACTCATTTGACAACAAAGCGATTAGAGGCAATTGAAAAGCTTGTATCTGCCCACGCAGGATTGTCAGCAGTTCTTAACCATCGATGAGCTCAAATTGATAATTGCACGCTAAAACATCAAAAATAAATCGAAAAAGTTCTCATTAACCTTTCACACGCACAGACATGGGTATGGACACGGTGTTGTGAGGAGGCCATTACTGTGAGCTGTTTTTATGTATGTGTACTTCAGAGTTGAAGCAGCCATCCGAGTATGACCACGTGACAAATAGCAACATCTCAAGTACTTTGCTCACAGGCAAGCATCAAGAAGAGCAATCCATAGTCTCTACTTAAAAATTGAAGCTGCCTCTCTTGCATCCGTTTACCTCACATCCTCTTTTCTCTAGTCCATCTTTAACTCCCCTATCCTGCCTCATGTCACCAAACCTCTTTCTTCTATGAACAGATTAAGCTGCTCCATTATTTGCTTCGCGTATTTGACGGTAGAAAATATTTCCAAACAAAACAGAAAACTACGACGACAACGACAACAAAAACAACAAACAAACAAACGAATAAACAAAACGCATATCGATTGATACCCAGGAGAATTATCATATTGTGTGTTTGGATAAATAACTCATCGATTTGATGATGTGCAACTAGGATATTGTCCAAATATCTGAATTAGATGCAGAGAAACGTGATTACCATTTTCAAATTTCCTTGTTACATGCACGTATGAAAGCTCTATGATCAAGAGAAATAGACTTTGTATTTTTATCAATCAAAAGTATTTTTTACTCCAGTTACCTTTTTATTTCCTCCTAAACGATTTCTTCTTCTTCTATTCAGTCCTCTCCAAGCGTGCAACCATGCAAACAATGCTACTTGCACCTTCGAATGAAGAATGTCATTCTTCTTCCTTTCTTCACTTGTATCGCTCGCATGACAGAGACAAAACCTTAACACATCCATCCTTTCAAAAATTCATTATCACAGAAGAATGCTTCTCATATAAATGGAATCCCTGGTAATTCGTATTCCTGAAAACGTGAACAAAATTGTGTGGAAACTGGGAAATGCGAAAGTGTATCTTGCAATTAACATTAACTGCATCTCCACATTCTAGTCTTAATTCCCGAGCACATGCTTGTCCATGAATAGGGACTTTTAGATTTACAGGACGAGAACGTGGACCGCCACGTGTGATATCCCTTTAAGGTAATGTGACGTCCTTTTGAGGCACTGCCGGGCACGGCCCAGTGCAGTCCACGCTCTCGTCGTGTAAATCTAAAAGTCCCTAATGTTAATGTTGAGACTGATCTATAACTTCATGCGAGATGATCTTTAAGATTCAATATCTTTTGACATAATATCAAAACATCTTTCTTGAAATGATATTAAAACATACACATTTTATTACAAGTAAGAAAATAGTGACATTTTATGGTGTTTAGTCGCTTCGGTTAGCAGCTCCAGGAAACAGAAAGAGATATCAATGTTTGCGAAAGTGTATGTGACATTAAAGTTAAGTGAGAAAGGTGCTATCAGATGTGAAACTCTAACCTATGTGAAACCGCATAGAGACTACTTAATGTGGGATATAGAACCTATAGACCGGTAAAAGATCTTACTTAGGTATACAGAAAATTCACATGTGCATAATTTTTTTTTAAAGACTTTAACCCTATTTTAACTGGGCTATTTCAGACCAGGTTTTTACTGGGGGGGGGGGTCAATTTGACCCCCCCCCCCCCCTAAGATCTCGGCCGTTTCACCGCCGATCGCCGCGAAAATTTGCATGCATGTCAAGTGAAGTGTATAGAATACTATGGTAATTTCAAATTTTTGAAAAATTCACTCATTTGCATATTTATGGTAATTTATGCAAATAAGGTCATAAAATTCACATTTCGGCCCATAAATCATAGATTATTCATATTTAAGAATTCTTTTTCACTACATATATTTAATAGACCATTTGGAATAATAATACAACACAAAAAATTGGAAGAGCCAGGTTATTCCTTATGTTATCTCTTGTTTTTATAATTTCTTAAGTATTTCATTGTTTTTTTAACTTATGTATTTTATTGTTTTTGTTGTTTTATTTCATTTATAACTACAATTCACCTATTTTGACCTCAAAACAAACATCTAAACTTTAAACAAGACTGAATAACCAATGTTTTATCTATTTTTAGGAAAAATGACTTTTACATATGTTTTGTACACAAATCACGAAAATGAGCGATTTTCGGGCTGACATGCAAAGACAAAAGGTCACGCGACCTTGTAACCGTAGTTCCGATTTTCAAAAAAATCGTTTTAAAAGATGCGTAAGACTCGAAAGTAAAAAGTCATGAGAGGAAATTTTTATATCTGCCGCGGTTTCGGAGTAGTCGCGAAATTTCTACAGGGGGGGGGGATCAAATTGACCCCCCCCCCCCAGTAAACGTAGGGTTAAAGCTAAAGAAGTTGTCCAAATCACATGTGTGAGCTTTTCAAAACCCATAACACACAAAGTGATCAAGTGAACCCGCATAATGCACTTATGCAAGAAGGTATTGTGTTGTTACAAGGCGTAATGTGGCTCAGCTTAATGCCAAGTATTCGCCATTTATATACAGGTATATGCCAATGTCTGGATTTATACAATATATCAGCAGTGTGGTTTGTTAGGGGGGTAGTGATGAATTATCTTGAGACGGAGAAAGTGAAAAATAGCTTGAAATATTGTTATTTGGCATGCTCATCGTATCGTAAATGTACATCATTACACTTACACAACACGCAGAGACATCAAACGATTCCTCCACGTCTGGAATTTGCTGAGGTCAGAGAAAATGTTGAATCAACAAGTATAACAGAATTATTGATGCATCGAGCAAAGTGGAAAGGACTACAGCGATAGACGCTTTCTGTTAATCCTGAGCGCTCTTGACTCGCACGGAATACGTGAGGACGCATTTCCAATCACACTTGGCGTGCGTGTAATTAGACCGCCATGATGCAGTGCCCCTCTCTAATTTGACAAACATTTCCGCTGCAACCCTCAGATAAGGTGACATGGGACACGCGCACAGCTGCATCAGCTCTGAACCAGACGATGGTTCGTAACTCGCCAAAATACATTGTGGCGGTGTTCAGTAGAATAAGTGTATGTTCGCTTTAGTTATCACCTGGTTGACGTACCATCTAAAGTGATTTTTATTTCAGGGAAACCCCGGTGTTCGATCATCACCAATACCATGTATGTGTGGGACTGCACTGGAATCCAGGCCTACTAGCCTTCTTTCTCAGGCCATTCGCGTCTATTTCTAGAATTTAGGGTATTTTGTGAAAATGTCAGCGATATCCATATATTGTTGTCCATTTGCATTTACCCCCCCCCCCCCCCCCCCCCACTCAGTGTTATTTAGGGTACGCGTATGCTCGTTCCCTCTTTTTGAAAGCACCCCTTATCTGAGGACTGCCAACCTTTCCGAACCCCCCTATCGCGGGCTTTTCGCGGGCTTTTTCTGCCTTGGAGACCCCCCTAAATACGGAAAAATGCTCAATGTACCCCCCCTAAATTCGGAATAATTTCTCAGGAGTCCAAAGAGATGAGGGAAAAAAGAAAAACTCCCCTTTTTAAAGAAATCTCCGGGTGAAAAGTCAAATACACCCCTTTTTTTTTTACAATTCTCGGGCCGGACTTTGTCGCACGAAAAGTACCCCTTTACTGGACATTTTGGTAACACGCATGCGGTCATTCCGACCCCGGAGTGGGGGGGGGGGCATTTACCTAGAATCCGTGACATTTCCTTGAAAAATCCTTTTAAAATATCGGAAAGGAGGTTAGG